AGCTGGGGCTGGAAGGACAGAGAAGACCCAGGAGGAGCTGGCACATGCATGGGAAGCCTAAAGTGGCGGGGCTAGGGGAGCGTACTTCTGAGTGCTGCCGGGGGCCGGGCCAGGAGGGGCGCAAGGGGGTGTGTGGCCTGGATGCCCTCACCTAGCTGTCTACTCCTGGGGAAGCTTCCCACCCACTGACACCCTCCCCCAGGTATTTTCTCTGCTTCCCGTGCTCACCGATGGTGAGGGGGGCTGTAAGGAGGAGGGACTCCTGGCCCCTGCTGTTGTGGCCCTGAGCATCAGTGTGGTGCCTCCTGCAGGTGACCAGTGGATGAAGACAGCCCAGGAGCAGGCTCGGGACTGCACCCGGGGTCATGAAGACACACACTTATGTGTGACCTTTGATATTCATAAATTTTCAGATCAGACGTTTGTTTCAAGACTGTTGTAGATTCATGTGTAGTGGTGAGAAATGTGCAGAGGGCATTTGCTGCTCCCACTGTCACTGTTGTCTGCTCATTTGCCCTTCCTCGCAGGTGCACTGACATCTCGCTGGGTGGTCTTCCTAGTGGCTGGTGAACCTGAGCAGCACCGCAGGAACTCATGTGCCACCTGTGTGTCCACTTTGCTGAAACGTTTCGTGTCTTGTGCCATGTTCTGGTTGCACTGTTTTTTAACTATTGAGTTTTGAGAGTTTTTTATACATTGTAGAAGCTAGTCCTTTGTCAGATGTATGGTGTGCAGGTCTTCTCCTCCCAGTCTTGGTCTCGCTGTTCATCCTGTTGAGAGGGTAAAGGTTTGCAGTTGCCATGATGTCCACCTTTCCAGCTTTTCTTCTGGGGTTTGGTGTCAAGTTGTAAGCCCCCTTTACCAGGCCCCAGATCGAAAAGAGTTCCTCCTACTTTTTCCCTGAAAGTTGTATAGTTTTTTTTTTTGCATTTGTCTATGATCCATTTTGAGTTAATTTTTATATAAAGTGTGAGACTTGGGTCGAGGCTCATATACTGGGCTGTGGAGTTCCAGTTGCTGCAGCATTTGATGGAAAGGCTCTCTTCTCCATTCAGTTGCTTTTACTCCTTTGCCAAAAATAAGTTGGGCAGATTTGGGTGGACCATGTCGAGTTTTTTTTTCTTTTCCTTTTTGTCTTTTTTTCGTGACTGGTAACGGGATCGCAACCCTCAGTGTCGCGCCCGTACCGCGACCAGCAACGGGATCGCAACCCTCAGTGTCGCGCCCGCACCGCGCTCAACCAGTGAGCGGACCGGTCTCTATATGGGATCCGAACCCTCGGCGGGAGCGCCGCTGCACTCCCAAGCGCCGCACTCTACTGAGTGCGCCACCGGGCCGGCCCCATGTCGAGTTTTTTTTTTTTTCCTTTTTTGTCTTTTTTCATGACCGGCAATGGATCGCAACCCTCAGTGTCGCACCCGTACCGGACCGGGACCAGCAACGGGATTGCAACCCTCGGTGTTGCGCCCACACCTTGCTCAGCCAGTGAGCGGCCGGTCTGTATGTGGGATCCGAACCCTCAGTGGGAGCGCTGCCGCGCTCCCAAGCGGCGCACTCTAGCAATGTGCCACCGGGCCGGCCCCCATGTCGAGTTTTTAATGTGAGAACTTTGAAAACTACAGAAAAGTTGGAGGACGAATTCATCAAGCCCCTGTTCGCTCTTTACCTATGTGTGCTGCCTGGGAAGTGTGCCCGTTTGCTGCAAGTATGGGGGGGTGCGAACATGTGTGCGTGCACACAGGCATGTATGTACACAGGCATGCACATGCTCACACAGGCATGTACACACAGAGGCATGGACATACTCATGCTGCACACAGGCAGGTACACAATCATGCATGTGCTCACACGTAAACACACACACGTTTGCACATATGCATACACAGGCATGCACATGCTCACACATGCACACAGGCATATATACACACAGGCGTGCACATGTTAACACACAGGCACGTATACACACAGGCGTGCACATGCTCACATGCACATAGACATGTACATATACAGCTGTGCATATACTCACAGGCATGCACGTGCTCACAGATGTGCACATGCTCATACACGCACAGGCATGCAGGTGTGCACGTGCTCACACAGACATGTACACACAGGCATGCACATGTCCACACATACAAGCACACGCACACAGGCGTGCACAAGCTCACACAGGCATGTGCACATACACATACACACACTCCCTCCCAGTGCTGGTTCCCAGCCGTTTTTCAGGAAGGGTCCTGGGGTTTCCCTCTTACATGCCATTTGCCAGAACTTTCTTGGTGAAGGCCAAGCAGTGCTGTCCGCGTTCAGAGGCAGGAGCTGCTAGAGCTCTAACAGTCTACATTTCAAGGACCAGCAGTTTTGTCTGGTATTTTTTAGAAGGTAAGTAGATAACCAGTAGCTCTTCCTCCTTTTCTTTTCCCTCCTTTGTTTTTTCTTCTCTCTTCCCCTCATCATTTGACCTTGGAGCTTGTATACATAGTAGAATTTGCTCTATGATGGAGTCTGTAGAAAATTGAAAATCCATGTTTTCCCCTTATTTTAAAGATGAGTTTTCCACACACGTGAAAGGCACGCCTGGGACTGGCAGAGTGGGAGGGGGACAGGATTGGATGTGGTGACTGGAAGGCTCGGTCCTGCTGGACATGGCTCTTACTAGACAGGATGGGCCTTGACAGTAAGGAGGCGGTAGTGGGAGGTGTGAGCCACGCTGTGTGTTAAGATCTGTCTGCTCGCCAGCTTGGGCTCTGTGGGTTTAGGCTTCTGTGCGGTGAAGGCCTTCTCTCTTTAGTGTGAATTTTTTTGTTTGACCAAATGAGTATTTATAGAAAGTAACCAAAGTTTAATGTTCCTTAGTAGTAACAGGGAAACTTAAAAACAGTTTAGCATTTAACCTGAGAGCTGAATTTTACTACAGTGTTTGTTATAATGACAATATTGGTGGATGGTAAATAGCCATGCTTCATTTTTTAAGAACCAGAGGAATAAGTGTCATTTAAAAACACTACGTTGGGATACTTAAAGCAGAGAATGTGAGGTTGCAGAGTGGCTCCATGTCAGATACAAATAGGAGAGGAGGCAGGAACCAAACACACAACCCAGCAGATGGTGGGTGGCACTCCAGACAACGTCCCAGGCTGGTGACACATTCCCCAGACCCGAGGCTGCTCTCACTGGCCAAGACAAACACGTTAGTGGCCTACGTGAGGGACCTCAGGCTGTGGTGGGTGGGTCAGGATGACCTGCTGATTGTTGCGTTGGTGGGGACTTGCCCTCTCCTTGTGAGTTTCGCATGTGGTGGGAGACCTGAGTGCCTGCCTGTGAGCCGCATGGTCACCTTGCTGTCCTCCCATGGCTGGAATGGGAAGAACACTATGCCCAGCACTGCTCTCACCGGAGGCCTTGGATGCTGTGCCCTCCGTAGTGCACAGAGGAACGGCCTGGCCCATGAGCCATGTCACCAGTGCAGCTTCCCAGCTCACAGCCCCACGTGTCCTATGTGGCAGTGCCTGAGATTACGAGATGCTTGGTCTTGCCGTCTTGTTAAAGGGTCTTTTCTAGAATGGGTGGAATTGGGGCTATCCAGACGGTTCTGTGTATCGACCTGTCACCTTAGAAGCTGTCTGGGTCCCCTGTCATTCCCCACCAAGGACAGTGTTGTGCTGGGTGCCCAGTGGCCAGTGCAGGCTGAAGCTCGCCCACACATGCTTGAGGGCCTGTCAGCAGTGAGGCCAGAGCTTGGAGGGCCATGCCTGAGGGCCAGGGCTGAGACAGCTGCCCTCCCCCATGGTGCCTGCAGCCACAGCACAGACACGTGAGGCCAGCCATTTCAGTCATTTCTCATTTTCACTGTGAACATTGTTGATCAAGGACCATCTTCAGAAGGAAGAGAACGTGTCAGATCCTGCTGCGAAGGTCTGGCAATTAGACTTGTGCAGAATAATTGCACAGATCAGCAGGACACAGTGGAATCCAGAAACAGAAGCACATGTGAGGGGACGTAGATACACAAAGGGTGGCATTCACAGTCATTGGGGACAAGGTGGTGGGTCATTCAGTGTTTAGAGCTAAGGATGGGCTGTCCATCTGGTGCAAGGGCGTGAGCTACGTTTTACACACCCACACACTTTGGGAAAAGGTCTAAATTAAAAAAAAAGGTTGGAGCATATAAAGAAAAAATAGAACAAATTTGTACAAATTTACAGTATTGGAATGAGGAAGACCTGCCTATGCAAGATACAAAGGAGCTAATTGATGAGTCTGATTTTGTAGAAATGGAGAAAACTTTTGTATGACCAAATCAACATAAAGTTAAACAGAAAGGCAACACTTAATGGATAAAATATTTTTTGCATATACCAGAGATTAATAGTAAGAATACTTAAACACTTCTGTGAATCTGTAAGAAACTCATAAACCAGACAATGTAAAGTAGACAAATGATATGAACAGATAAAGAGGAAGAGTTTTAAGTGGCGGATAGCCAAAGCTGCCAACCCGACTGTTATTCAGGGAGATGCAGAGTACAGTGAGGTGTCAGGCTCTGTCGTGTTCTGGCCAATCATGTGGCAGGTGGTGTCGAGTCTCACCAGGGGCACATGGATGGGCCATGCTCTTGGGAGGAGGGTGACGGGCAGCGTGACCCACGTGTCCCTTTGGCCATTGTTCCCACATCCATCCTGTTGCTGTTGGACCCATGCACAAGCACAAGGGTGCTGGTGTGGAGCTGGAGCCCAGTGTTGGCTGTTGCTGGAAATGCACTTAAACGTCTGCGTAAGAGCTGAGGAAAGATCTGGAAAGAGTCCCAGCCTTCAACCCACCCCACTAGGCAGGGTAGGGGGATGGGAGGAGAGATGGAGATACTGGCCATTTCTGCTCTTTTTCTGAATTGCTTGTATTTCAACTTCATACATTAAGATATACAGATAATTCTGTAAGTGTGAGTTGAAGCGAGAGAACATTGCCCCTTGCCACTGACGTGCCTTCCTTCTTCACAGGTATGGATCCTGGCGGGAGCCGGTCAACCCCTACTACGTCAACTCTGGCTACGCCCTGGCCCCGGCCACCAGTGCTAACGACAGCGAGCAGCAGAGCCTGTCCAGCGATGCTGACACCCTGTCCCTCACAGACAGCAGCGTGTAAGTCCCATGTGTCGGGGAGTGCCGTCCACGGGAGCACACGGCCTCCTGCTCATCTTTCTGTGCGACCCCAGCACTGCTTGGGCTTCGTCCTCCCAGAAAAAGTTCCCTGATCCCCCCAAACTTGATATTAGTGCATCTGAAATACAGACAGGCTGCGCTGCAGGAAGTGTCCTTAGAAATCCTGACACAAGCTGTAGCTGAGTTTTTGTTAGTGGCTTCTCTCTGAAGCCAAGGTTTCCGGAAGATTTGAGAGAGGGAGAACGGAGGAGTGAAGTTGGACCAGTTTTGCGCTGCCCTGCGAGAGCCCATAGCTTCCACCTTCCTCTTTGGTTTTCATAGTCTGGGTTTCAGTTTAAAGATAGGTACAGGTTAGCAACCAGATGGGCCCACTGTGTACCCGGGTGGCAGTGAAAAGGGACGCAGGCCCTGGGAATCCGCGCTGCTGCACGGATGGGCTTCCTGTCGCTTTACAGCATAGAGCCCCATCCTGTCAGTTGAATGATCCCTGGCATCTGCTCGGAGTGGGGGGCCGGGGACCGGGGAGAGGGAAGATGGTCCCTACTGAGTCAAATGCCGCAGTGGCTGAGGGACCGCCCAGGCTACATCCAAGCGTCACATCCCTGTGTGGTGTCCCGGTCCCCTCCCCTCATGGTAACACATCTCCAGGGAAAACCCTCTTGGTGGGGATATGCTTGTTTTAGGATCTCTTCTCCTGCGCTCTGGCAGGTGGCTTTTAGGGACCCAAGACCACATTAGTGATTTGGCGCAGGAAACACTCATGTTGCATTAGGGCATTGGCTGTCCAGCCGGTGGGGTTGTTTGAGGCCTTGACTTGGTAGCCCATGAATCTCAGAACTGCCCAGCTTTCGGTCTCACGTCATTTGCCACCTGACCACCACGATGGCCAGGACCGGGGTCTCCCCCAGCAGCATCAGGGCATTGGAAGTGTGAGCCACTGACTGCGGTCTGCAGGTGACCTTTCGCTCCTTGCCACGCCCAGCAGTGGTCAGCTGGTCACTAGTGACTCCTTCCCTGCCTCGCTTGTTTCTTCATGTGGAGAGGTCAGAGAATCAGGTTTAAGTACAAAGGAAAAAAAGGCTTATAATCGTGATGGGTCTTGCCTGTCCTTTTGTGAATATATGTGTTTGAGTTGTGGTCCTACCTTATGTACCGTTTTTATGGCTCGCTCTTTCATCTGCCTGTCTTTACACACTCTTCCAGCACCTGCACCTCAAACATACAGAACGGGTGACCACGTGATTTCTGAGCCACACGCAGCCAGCCCCGTGCTGCATGTCTCGGGCTCTTTCATGGTGGATCCAGGCCACCGCCCTGTCCCTTCAGGTTGAGCTTCTGCATTTGGTATTTCTTGTTGCTATTTCATTCTCCTTTAACTTTGAGTCTTTTTTATTTTGGAGGCTGGACGGTCTGGGGATCCGAACCCATGACCTTGGTGTTATCAGCATTGCACTCTTCCAGGTGAGATAACTGGCCAGCCCAATTTTGAATCTTCAAGATGGAATGTTGACACGTTTTTAGCAACATTTTTCTTGAAATTATTGGAGTTTCAGATAGTGCCTCCAGTGCATGTAAAGTATTGTACAAAACAGCTGGAGCAAGCTGCAGCCTGCAGAGCTCCTGAGAGCAGATCGTGTACATGGAATCTGGTTCCTTTTCCCTGAAACTCCATTACTACAATGAAAATTAATCTGCCAACACAATTTCCCCCAAAAGTCTCTTAATTCTCTCCAAGAAAAAGATACATGTTTCCTAAAGGGAAGACTCAGAGATATATATTTTTTTCCTTGATATTCTCTTCATCTTGGTTTGCAGTGAGGCGTTTAAGAATTTGCATTGTAAAATTGCTGTGGGTACTTGAATATATATCAGAGGCAAAAAGTGGAAGGTGTATTTCCTCATTTCTGCTGGGCAGTGGTGCTCAGCATCTCAGCTAGTGTTCAGCTCACAACTGACTTGACGAGTGCTCACTGGTTCATCAGCTTTGCATGCAGATGTTAAGGACAGTGCACCCAGAGCCATATGTAATTGTCAAGTGCCCAGTCTAAGCATGGAAGAAAAAGATCATTTAGTGGCTTTGGGACCTGAACAAACCCCAAGGGCATATTAAGGATGTTTTAAGTGAGTTTTAGACCCACCTGTTCCTTGTGCCTTATCCATGCCCCTCATCACTGAACCCTGCCTGTGATGAGGCCCCAGCATTGTGGCAGCACCCAGCCGTGCTGGCAGCTGAGGACACCCAGTGCGATGGGTAAGGAGAGGGCTTCACAGTCTCTCTCTACCTTACTCTGATCAAAGCACACCCTTTCCATCCAGAACGGGGCTCTAAGGTATGTGATATTAAAAAGGAGAAATGCTGTGGCCCTCCCCGCTGATGCAGGCAGTGTCCTGGGCCAGATGCATGGGAGCCCTGTGTGCTGAGCAGGGGGGCCTTGACCAGGCCATCCTGCGGTTAACACAACCTCCTTGGAAGTCCCTCTGTGTCTGCACCTGCTATTGAGTGAGCACAGCATTGTCTAGCAGTGCCCCTGCCCTGCAGATATCTTCTCTCCTCACTTCTGTGCAGGAATGCGCACATAGATCTTCCTGACGTCACCCTCTGGGAAACAGGGAGGCCCAGGTCTTTCAGTAGCCAGAAGATTTAGAAACTCCTCTATCTAACTGTTGAGGTGGCAGCTCCACTCGAGTCCTTCTAGTTGCCAGAGACTGTCAGCGAGAAGGAGGACAATGAGTGGGGAGAAGCCGTGGCTGCTCTGCTTTCCAGAGTAGCTTTTATAATGGTGGGAAGAAGGCTGGAGAACTTAAAGGACTTCTCATGTATAGCAGATTGTGTGTTCAGTCTGACATCTGTCTTGAAAAAGTGATAGATATGCATTTAGTTATTCTAACCCAGGGGTATATAACTATTTAAAGACAATATATAATCTGACGTATGTTTATCATGATCCTCTAAAGGGTTTATAACAAACCTTTTATGTAAAAAAACGAACTTGTGCATCCCCCCGGGAGATGACACTGCTTTGCCAGTTTATGTGCAGGAATGCACAGTGGTGGAAACCTCCTACCTTTCAGGGGGTCTAGGTTGGCCTGGCTGCCCACTCTGCAGCCCTCAAGTGTTCTGGGTCTACTTAGTAGTCCCATGCCAGGTGGGCACACCATGCCCTGGCCTAGGCTGTGGAGCAGGAAGCAGGGTCAGCGGACATTCCCAGGAAGGGCCGCGGTCAGTGCTTTAGTCTCTGCAGCCACATATGTCTCCACCCGTTCTTCCCCACCCTGTAAAAATGTGAAAACCACGCATAGTTATCAGGCCTCAGGCTGTATGTACAGCGAGCACAGCCAGACTTTGCCAAAATGCTCAGTTATTATGAGCTAGAAGAATAAACCATGGCTGAGCTTCTAGGCTGTGCTGCCATGTGTGAATGTGTATGTGCACATGTGTATGTGCGTGTGTGTGCATGAGAGTGTGCGTGTGCACGCCTGTCGTACCGTCGCTGGCTGACTGGCGGTCAGTATCTGTTGAGCCCGGCTTCCCGCCTGGGTTAACAGCCGCCTCTCTCTTCTGCACAGGGATGGAATCCCGCCGTACAGGACCCGCAAGCAGCACCGCAGGGAGATGCAGGAGAGCGTCCAGGTCAACGGACGGGTGCCCCTACCTCACATTCCCGTAAGTGCCCGCTCTGAGCCCCACCCCTCGCCGCCCAGCACCCGGTGCCTGTCTGCTCTTCCCGTGCAGAGTTGGGAAGGGAAAGGCACTTGCCCAGCTCCCCTCCAGTGTGAGTGGGTGGTCTGCACACGGTCACACACTGCAGGCTGGGGCAGAGTCCCAGGTGATACTTAGAGCTCAGCGGGTGCAGTCTCCTCAGAAGAGCCCCTGAGGGCCGCACGGCCGTGCCATCTGCATGGCAGCAGGACACATCCTCCACGTAGTGCCCGCCGTGCCCTCTTTCTCGTTGTGAAGTGAGATGCCTCCTCAAGGGACAGTGGCTCTAAGCTTCCATTGCTGGTGCCTGGCCCCACACTATGGTTCTGTCAGGAAGCTATGGCGTCTCTTTGTGCCCCTTGACACCACGTTATGTAAGCATGACTATGTTCAAGATGAAATTTGAATTATTGGCCTTTTTGTGGCCAAGCAGTAGGAGTCACCATGTGACCTTCTTGACTTCAAGCCTGCCTGAGCTTCTCCCCCTGGAAAAAGTGAGCCATTTCTCCTCATGGGCAGCGGGAGCTTCACTAAACTGCAGGCCAGATAGCTGAGCACGCTACAGGTGTAGCCAGGCACAGCCTGTCTGCATCTGCCAAGTGTCCTTTGATGGCAAGGGAGTAATTAGCTTTCCTTATTTGACACATTGACTTTAAACAGGAAAGATTTTTAGGGGAAGATATGAAGAGCTTAGGATAACGTCTTCAACCAAAGGGTACCTGTGGTGTCTGATGGTAGACATGCGGCTCACGGACGGCATCTGGGGGTGGATTCACGGCTCAGGGACAGCATCTGAAGGAGGACACATGGCTCATGGACAGCATCAGGGTGGGTGTGTGGCTCACGGATGGCGTCTGGGAGTGGACAGTGTAGATCACTGACAGTGTTTCAAGGAAGTGGGTATTTTTCAGGAGCTTTGCCAAACCCTTTATCAGGATTTCTTCAGGTCTTTTAGCTTTTCTACAGATACTTTAATATTCAACTCAAGAACGTGTCTTTTGTGGTTGAGAAGAAAGGATTTTGGTCTGAGGACTGTGGTCAAGCATTTTGTCAGCTCACAGCCATGTCTTGGGAAAGATATGGCTTAAACTAGGCACTGAGGGGGTGTCTGCTCATTAGAAGTGTGTGAACAGTGAGTGTCCATGTGTGTGTTGTATCTGCAACGGTGTGTCTGTGCATAGCTACCTGTGTGCACATCTATGTGTGTGCCTGTGTGTCTCTTTGTGCCTGTATGTGTGTGCTTGTGTGTGTGTGCATGTGTGTGCTGCAGGTGACCTGGTGAGCACCCCCTGCCACTCACTGTCTGGAGCCATCTGGGTCTGATCTGAGCAGGTGAGCTGTCCCTGTCCGTGCCTCATGTGTGATGTATGCGTCATGTCAGCTCCTACGAATACAGTGAGAACCAGAGCCAGGGCAGCACCAGGGAGAATGGAAGAGGAGCTGAACATTTCATCCCAGAACATGAGAAGTGCCCAAGCATGATGAAATGTGTCACAGGACATGGGAGCAGCCGCGGGGGCTTGTGAGGGCCATGTGGTCACAGCATATGCATCAAACAGAAGACAGGAAAGTCGGGATCCATGCATTGGCATTGATGGGGAGGCACGGGCCTTTCCATGGTCCCAGCAGCTGCTCACGAAATGCTTAATCACAGTGGGGAAGTAGCTTCCCCGGGGGGACCCTCCTGGATCTGAGGTCGATACAGGGGTCAGGAATGGGACAAGCAGAAGCTGCCTGTGTGAGCACATGGTGGACAGTTTCATGGCCCTCGGTGTTCCTTGCCTGTAATGCTGGACCTGCAGCTGGTCACGTGGCCACCACCCACGCTGAGGGCCCCTGCACATTGACTGGCCTCAGATCTTCATGTCCTGGGGTCATGCAATCAAGGAGAGCCCGAGGGACAGGACAGCAGAGGCCCTATGGCCTGGGTGGCCTGTTTGCTGGATGTGAGGCCCGGGTGGCCCATGTTGGCTCCTGTGTCCTGGGTCCTGGGGTTCTCGTGTGGAGGGAGTGCACACCAGCCATTCCAGAGTAATGGGACATCAGGCTGGCCACTTACTCTCAAAAGATTCAGAAAAGATGATCTTCATGGTAATCTTGCAACTTTTCTGTGAGTTTGAGATTGTTTGAAAATGAAAACTTTTTAATTCTATAGATAAGTTAGAGCATTAGACAAACCTAAAAAGTGAATTGGTGGCATTGAATATGGACCTGGAAGACTCTCAGGGTGAGTGCAAAGGAGGGGAGGCAGAGACTGGGGTCATCGTGACAATGTTCTGGAATCAAAGAAACTCAGTCTTCAGGTTCTGGAAGGCCACAGTTCACTCGTGGGAAGACACGGCCCATAGCCTGGTGTGTGTTGTGTTCCTCCGTGTGGCTCGCGGCCTTGTACACAGTGCTCTGCCGTGTGCGGTGACAGTGGCCCAAGGTCCAACTGCATCTGTCTTGAATTCCCACATCTGAGAAAGGAGACGCAGGTTCCATTTTCTTCAGTGCTGTGGAGTGCATGGCCCTTGTGGTGTGTGAGTGACGCGTCTCTTCTGTGAGGACCCCTAAGTTATGGGGTGTGGTATAGCTGCCACCAAGAAGCCAGGAGCCAGGCACACAACCTGGACTTGGATGAGGCTCCCCATGGCTGCTGCCCAGACGCCTGCGCACATCTCCATGATTGTTGGAGCAAAGTGGACTGGAGGATTGGTGGTGAGCAGGGGCAGGTGGAGGTCCCAGGTGACTGCAGAGACTCGGGTGCCAGGTGGGGCCCCTCGCTCTGCGTTCCTACTGCAGTTTGCTTAGGAAACGCCTCTCTGCAGAGGGTCTGCGGCACCTGGTTGTCCCCCCACGTGACTTGTAGGGGGCTAGGGACGAGGTCGAGGGCAATGTGGGGAGTGTGACCAAGACACAGGCTGTGCGTTTCCCAGCAGAGGTGACCCTGGAGTCGCTGTGTCTGGTCCTGAAACCCCATGGCTGGGGGTCCCTTCCCCTTTTCTTTTCTTTTTTGGTCTTTTTATTTCTCAGAAGTTTCACATTTTTATGTATCTGGGCTTTTTCTCTGTGATTTCTTTCTGTTCCTCCAAAGCTGGAAAAGTGGCCATTCTTCCATAGACCTGATGATTCTGGCAGTTTTTCTGTTCTCAGAATCTTCGTTGCCAGCTGTAGGCCCACCAGGAATCTCTTTTCTGGAATGGACTTGCTCAGCAGGTCTGAGCTGTTCCCACCCCGAGCTCCGAGCGTCCCCTCCGCAGCGTGGACAGCTTGGACATCCCTGATGGCGTCCGCACGGCCGGGTCTGATTCTGGACTCTTTGTCCTGCTCCCAGCCTCTTTGCTGCCCACTGGTCAGACCCTGAGTGTCCTGCATCTGGACCTCTGGTGGGCCATGACGCATCAGTACCTGGGTGGCGTCACTGCGTCCCGCCAGCTCTTGGTCCTGTGCGTATCACTCCCACGTTCGCACCTCGCTCAGCACTGCACTCAAAAAAGCTGTGTGGCCTCCAGCCTCTGCTCTCCAGCCGCTTTAGGGCCTCTCTGTCTGTCTGAACATCCTGCTGTCCGTGCCCCCAACCAGACCACATCAGCCCCCCACCCCTGCAGGGGCCAGCGCTGGCTCCTCCCTCAGGATTATCCAGAGGTACCCAACACCCCAACTCCCCTCCGTAAGTGGCCTCCATGACTCCAGGACAAACCCCCTGCCCAGTGCTGGGCACCGCCAGCATCTGCTCCAACTTTCCCCACCCCTGAAATGCAGCTGGTGTCTTGGCTTGCCCTTGGGCCCTTCTCTCTCCAAGCCCCTCAAGGCACAGCTCATCTCAGGGTTACTATGGTTGCCTCTGTGTGTGGCACCAAGCCCAGCCTATGTCTGAGCCCTAGCACATGGCCTGTTTTCTCTGAGCTGAGACCTTTCTCTGATTTCTCCTCTGACCTCACAGCATGTTCTCACTCTTGTTTTGTAGGTGAGAGATGGGGCATGCAGTCAGGACCTTGCAAGAGCCCACAAGGGGAGGGGGCACACAGTGGCATGTCCCCAGCTTTGCTCTTGTGCAGCCTCAGAGCTGATATGCAGCCTGTCTAAGGCCACCTCCCTGTGGTGAGGAGCTATCCTGCTGCTCCCATCCCTCCCCAGCTTAGACCTTGGTGGCCTGGAATCTAGGAACCATGATTCATTGTAAAGAATTTTATCAGGGCAGCTGGCAAAGTTAGAAAGTCTGCTGATTAGATCATAGTATTGTATTAGAGTCAGGTTTTTATTTTATTTTTATTTATTTTATTTATTTTTTTCTTTTTGTCTTTTTTCGTGACTGGCAACGGGATCGCAACCCTCGGTGTCGCACCCGCACCGCGCTCAACCAGTGAGCGGACCGGTCTCTATATGGGATCCGAACCCTCAGCGGGAGTGCCGCCGCGCTCCCAAGCGCCGCACTCTACCGAGTGCGCCACCGGGCCGGCCCAGGTTTTTAAAATCAATAATTGTGCTGTGGATTGGTATGAAAACAACATTGTTTTTGTTAAATACATTCTAACTGGTTCAGAAAAGTGTGTGCGTTTGCCTGTTCATGTGTGCATGTGTGTGTGCGTGTCAGTGGGAGGTGATAAAGCAGACGGGGTGGTGCAAGCGTGTGGGGAATCTAGTGAAGGTGGACAGGAGCTCCTTGTACTACTCTTGCCAGTTTTGAAGTTTGAAATTATTTCAAAATAAAGCCCCCGCAAAAAAAATTCTACAGTGCATCACTGTAAAATACATCTGAGATTCATGTTCTCTTAAAAAGGAAAGCCCTCTAGAGTCCTCTTTTCTCCAGATTTTCCCCTTACTCTGAACTTCACGTGTCTCCCACCCCCCAGTGCAGCCCCAAGTCCACACCTGCTTCATGCACACGTGTGTGCCGGGTACTGTCAGTGGCAGGACCAGCACCTGTGGGCCTGTGCCTGGAGGGGCTTGCAGTGGCCAGTGCTGAGCTGGCTGGTCTGTGGCCCCGTGGTCCTCAGTGGTCTGTGCCCACTGAGCCTCCAGCCTGCCCCACACTGCTTAGATCCCTTGGCCCCAGCCGCAGCCTTGTCAGTCATGTTTGGAGTGTTTCTCTGTGAACAGGTGTGTCTGGTGATGTCCTGGCCCTTGTCCAGCCTGGGACATGTCATATGCTCAGGTTTGGGGATGACTAAGCCTTTCGCCTATGCCAGGACCTGGCCATCGAGCCCTGACCACAGGGAAAGTGGGAAAAGTTAGCACTTGCTTTAAAGTAAACGGTTGACTTCACACTATTTCCTCTCCCCATAGGTGTTCTTAAATGGTCTTTGAACCAATCTGCCCTTGGCAGAGAGGGTGGAGGTTTGCAGTGTGGCGGCAGCACCCACCTAACGCTGTGTCTCCCCACAGCGCACTTACAGAGTGCCAAAGGAGGTCCGTGTGGAGCCGCAGAAGTTCGCTGAGGAGCTCATCCACCGCCTGGAGGCTGTTCAGCGCACGCGGGAGGCCGAGGAGAAGCTGGAGGAGCGGCTGAAGCGTGTGCGGATGGTGAGCGGGCCCATTTCGTGGTGCTTCCTTACAGCTCTGATGTCCTGATGGGTTTCGGGCAGCTGTGGGCCCTGAGGAGTGCCCCCTGCCCTGCGTGCCCACCGACTCCTCCTGACACCGGCCGGGCCCCTGTCAGACACCGTGCTGCCTCTGACGCTGTCTCTGACTCGTCTCTAACCCACCTGAGCCCTAGTGCCTATCCCAGCTGCCCCTTACCAACCTCAGAGACCAAGAGGCTCCCAGCCTGGTGGCCATCTCCAGGAAGGTCATCTCGCAGGCTTCCAGCCAGAGCTGCAGGCATTCAGGGGCCAACGCTGCTTCCTGCTACACCCCCTTCCTCATGGGTGGCAGGGGCTGCGGTGCACACAGCCAGCGAGGAGCAGGGTGAGTGTGCGGAGCAGGAAGGACCAGCGGTGTCCAAGATCCCTCTTCACTCACTGGGTCAGCACTGTGTGTCCCAGATGTTGGTCATGCACTTGGCAGGCTCCGTCATGACGGGGCTTCTCTGTTGCTCATAGAAAGGGCTTTATTTTCCTCTAGCAGGTATAATTTCCTCTGGAGATTAAGGGTTGCCATTGAGTGGGTATTCTCCAGTCTTTTCAGCATTTTATGAATATAGATACTTATAAAATATAAATATTTTGTTTATATAAGTTTCCTTGAAGCTCAAAATGTGACATTTCTGTAAGGAATTATCTCTCCACCCGGTCCCCGATGTCTTTATTTGACATGCAGAGCCTCAGCGCTCCTCAGGCCCCAGGAGACCCCTTGGGGGGCCTGCCCTCCACTTTGACGTGTGTGACCTGATGTCTGGAGACGCCACATCAGGGTGGAAGAGGGTAACGCAGTACCCTGTGTGGATGCGACAGCCTGGCTGCCCGTTGAGATGGCAGGCAGGCCTCACACAACCTGTCGGAAGTGGGGTTCCTGGCAGGGCCGTTGTGCTCACTGCAGACTGGGGAGTAGGATGAGCCACCAGACATGGAGCCCTCCAAGAAGTGGTTTGCATGGAAATGCTTTTAGTGCACATATGCATGTTTTTCATTCCTGATAAACTGTTTTACCACCGGATGAGCAGCACCCGCTCCTTTGTCCTTGCGGTGGAGCACAAGTCTGGGCATCGCTGCTGGGCCTGTGTGGGCTGACGCAGGGGCTTGAGCAGACCCCAGGGTGCAGGGCCGCTGTCCACCATGGCTGCTGTGCAAAGGTCACATCACCCACCATGGGGTCTGATGGAGGCGAGGGTGAGATGGTTGCAAAGACCTGAGGCCTGGAGCCACGCCCTGCCAGGCTGTGTGGTGGGCACCCAGCACGTGGGGGCACACGCGGGACAGCCCTTGTGCAGGCCTGTGGGGAGTACAGGAGGCTGGAGCAGGCTCTACAGCCTGGTTTACATGTTGTGACAGCGTCTCCATCTGAGCAGCAGAGCGTTTTACAGACACCGTCTTTCTTCACATGAGGGGAGCCCTGAGGACGCCACAGTAACAGCTCGACACAAGTGTGCTCGTGAAGAATTTAGGAAGGGAAGAGTTCACCACCGTCCCGCTGTGACGTTGAGCTGTTGTCATTGTTCTGCTGGCTTTTTCGTCCTGGCTCAGTTTGTGCAGGTTAACATTTTAGGCGAGACGTCTTAAAGGCAGGTGGAACTGTAGATACTTGTTGTGCCTTTCCTGTGTCTCAGTCCTACAGCTCTTGCTCCCTGGAGTCCTGGCTGTGACCAGGTGGGGTGGCTTTGTCCTCAGCAGGGGGGACACAGGTGCACGGTTGCTGTGCCTGGAGCCAGCCCACCTCCCGCCTTCAGCAGGGAGGGGCTGCCCTGGCTGCCAGGGTCTGAGCAGGAGGTAGTCTGCAGGGCGGAGCTCGCTACACCCCCTCCTCCAGGACAGGCACGTCTGCCAAGCAGCTGGCAGTGTGACCTTGGCCAGTCTGTCACAAAGAGTGATGCTGTAATTCATATACATCGTGCTGTAAGTAGTATTCCTTTTTAAAAAGGAATAACCTCAGCTTTTAAAAATAACTTAGTTTCGCTATAAAATTTGGAAAATAAAAGCAGAAAAACAAAAATGAAAACCGTTAGCTGAACAGTTAAGTTAGTCTACAACATTTCAAAACCCTGCAGCAGAATTCCTGCGTGGGCAGCGCTGTTGAGAAGAGCCGGACCTCGGCCCAGGCTGTCCCAGTGGGTTTGGAGGTTCCCCTCCTCACTGCTGCCTTGGGGTAGATGGTGTCACGCTTGTGGGGGGCTCTTGGCTAAGAACCCTCCTGCAAAGCAGAGGACGCAGAGGGAGCGGGCAGCGTCCACCAGAGGGAGCCTCCACTCCCTTTCCCCCATTTGGTGCCCTTTTCAGGCACAGCTGATGCCTCCCGTCAGCTCAGGGGTCACCTGTCCGAATTGCATTTAGATACTTTTGCATGTGTAAGAAATTGGTGGTGAACTTTTAGAGGTTTGCTTGTATTAAAACACTAAGGTAGGGCTGCTGGCTGGTTAGCTCAGCTGGTTAGAGTGTGGTGTTATAACACCAAGGTCCAGGGTTCAGATCCCTGTACTGGCCAGCTGCCAAGAAAAATAAATAAATGAAATAAAATACAGGGGTAGCTTAGTCTCCCTCTTCTTTTTTGTTAATAGCAAATGCAATCAGCACTGTCTGGTTTGTCAGTTTATAAGACAAAGAAGTAACTATGAGAGCTAACCTTTAGAATTAGTCATCGGGTTCTGTACTTGTTAACTCTTAGAGCTGAATGAGATTCCACCAGCTTAACATGAGAATTTACCAAGAAACACGCAAGATAAGCAAAAATCAGAAGCCCTCTGTACAAGGGCAGTGTTCTCCTTGAAAATACAACGGAAGCTACATTCATGGCAGTGAAAAGGAACAGGCAGAAATCAAGAAACAAGAGAAAACTGAATCCATGCAGAGCTTTCTCAGTGGCCAGGCTGACAGCGGTGCCACGTTCCCTGGCCCTACTGTTGCCCCTGCCCCGCCCCTGGCTGGAGCCAAGCCTGAGGGGATGGGGGCAGTGGGCAGACAGTTCATGTGGCGCTGGGAGCTGGTGCCTTGCCTGGCCTGGTCCTGCCTCATGCTGGGCGGGGCGGCCTCTGCCCAGGCGCTCCTGATCTCGGGAAGCACTGCTGGCAGCCCCAGCCAGTCCTGCTTCTTGTCTGTTTTCCCCATGTGAGGTTGTCACTGAATGTCTGGTGCTGAGAGATGACAGTGCCTCCATGTCCCCACACAGGAGGAAGAAGGTGATGACAGCGACCTGGCCGGCCCCCTGGGGGTGAGTCACAAGCTGCTTTCTGCACCGGTCTGGCACCACTTCACACCCCGCTACGTGGACGTGGGCGTGGGCTGTGGGGGCCTGCGGGATGCTCATGAGGAGAACCCCGAGAGCATCCTGGACGAGCACGTGCAGCGGGTCCTGAGGACGCCTGGCTGCCAGTCACCGGGGCCCGGCCATCACTCCCCCGACAGCGGGCACACGGCCAAGATGGCAGCAGTGCTGGGGGGCGCGGCCTCGGGACACGGTAAGCATGTGCCCAAGGCAGGGGCGAAGCTGGACGCAGTCGGCCTGCATCACCACAGGCACGTCCACCACCACGTCCACCACAGTGCGGCCCGGCCCAAGGAGCAGACGGAGGCTGAGGCAGTGCGCAGGGTCCAGGGCAGCTTCGCGTGGGGCCCGGAGCCACACAGCCACACGGCCAAGCCCCGCAGCTACTCGGAGAGTGTGGGTGCCACTGCCGGCACTGGGGACAGTCTGGCCTATGGGTGAGTGTCTGTGCCGGCCCCTCCATGTGGGTACCTTCCGGGGGGAGGGGGGCATCAGGGTGTGAGGCCATGTCCCTGTGGATGGCCAGAGCCTCCCTTGTAAGAGCCGCAGGAAATCCAGGGCCACTGCCAGCAGGGCAGGAGCCAGACAGAGTGGGGTGTGTCTGAGTGACAATGCGGCCCTAGCCCTTGGTTCCAGCTCTGTGCCCGAGTGTGGCTGGGCAGCATGAACAGTGGTTAGCTCAGCTCTCCAGGAACGTTCAAAGATGAAGCACCCTAGGCAGCAGCAGAACAGTTAGGAGGCGTCAACTCCGCAAAGGCTGTGGTCACAGAGGCCTTTCCCAGTGGACATGGGGGCACTGTGACAGCTGTGGACAGTCTGGGTGACTCTCAGGTCTTGCTCTTGCAGTGGGAAAGCCATCATGGCCTCCAAAAGAAATGCCAAGAAGGCCGATGCGGGAAAGAGTTCCAGCGCCGAGGTGCCGGGGCCCTCGGAGGATGCAGAAAAGAACCAGAAGATCATGCAGTGGATCATAGAGGGGGAGAAGGAGATCAGCAGGCACAGGAAGGCCGGCCATGGGTAGGAACCTGTGTCCTGGTGCCCTGCAGGGCCATGCTGGTGCGTGCTGAGCACCAAGCCTCACACACTGTCTTTCACAGTGTGCCACAGGCAGCAAGAGCAGGAGCCCCATCGCAGCACGAGCCGCTTCACCCTGCCCCATCTGGGGTGTGGTGGGGGCCTTGGAACATCTGTGGTGTTCAGAGCTGGAGCACCCAGGGACCAGCGTCCCCTACTTCTATCTGAGCTCTGCTCACTGTGGCCCTTCCTGGGGGAAGGCCATGTGGCTCTCACCCCTGCAGGCAACATGGCTGCTCTGGGGAAGCTGTTTCTGGGCTGGTGACAGCTCCCCCTGGGAATGACCTGAGTCATCCGGGAAGTCAGAGAGCACCTGACGTCCCTCCAGGCAGGGGCGTGGGAGAAGCTTCTGTGCTCACACCTGGTCATCTAGCCATTGTCAGGGAAAACTCTGGTCCAGTCGGGACCTGCACTCCTGCCCTGGGCTGGAGTGGAATGAGGGCCCCAACACCCTTGTGCCCCACACAGGAGAGGTGGGTTTCTGGATGTCTCCTTACGCCCCGTCTCATCACACGTCCCTCATGTGCCTGAGCTCATTCCTGGTGCCTGGCAGGAGGGCTGGGGGCCCACAGAGAAGGTACCTGCCCCTCCCTGCTCCATTGTGGCCAGAGATGGGTCAGCCTTGGGTGGGCTGCTGGTGTGTGGGCGGGAGGTCCTACCTCAGCCTCCCCTGATTTGCCGCCTGCACCCAGACCCCGGCCCAGGCGACCTCCTGCCATGTCACTTGGCAAGAATGGTGCGGGGGGGGGGGGGGGGGGGGGGGGGGGGGGGGGGGGGGGGGGGGGCTGAGTGTCACCCATGAGGCAGGGGCCACCTGAGGTGAGGCATCCCCATTGCCTGCATCCAAGGCCGCTCTTCCTGGGGTTCCTGTGCTGTCTCTGCCTTGGGGCACTAAGCCTCTGCCATAGCTGAGATGTTTTCTCTCAAATTCCATTCCGTGGTCGAGTGCTGGATTTCACAGACGTGGAACACATTCTCGGGCTTTAATAACTATGAGACTGTGATGTAACATTCAGTGGGAAAATTATATGTTTAGAATTATGCCAGTCACTGGGCCGGCCCGTGGCTCACTTGGGAGAGTGCGGTGCTGATAATACCAAGGCCATGGGTTTGGATCCCATATAGGGATGGCCGGTTAGCTGGATCCCATATAGGGATGGCCGGTGATGTAACATTCAGTGGGAAAATTATATGTTTAGAATTATGCCAGTCACTGGGCCGGCCCGTGGCTCACTTGGGAGAGTGCGGTGCTGATAATACCAAGGCCATGGGTTTGGATCCCATATAGGGATGGCCGGTTAGCTCACTTGAGAGAGCGTGGTGCTGACAACACCAAGTCAAGGGTTAAGATCCCCTTACCGGTCATCTTTTAAGAAAAAAAAAAAGAATTATGCCAGTCACATTAAGTATTTTCAAGGGGTGAGGGAATACACTAGTGTACGAAGAGTGGTTATTTCTAAATTATGACATTGTGGGTTATTTGTATTTTTTTCTGTATATGCTAGGTTTTCCACTATGAACACTTAGTTTAGTATCAAATGTTTTTAAACAGTAAAAATATCTTTTAAAAAAGTCTTTGTGTATTACACAATTTATATAAGCCGAGTTAAAATGATATGAAAAAGCAGCCTGCAACAAAGTGATGTTCCTGTCATGTGGTCTCAGGAGGCAGTTCGCGTGGGTTCAATGGTCCTGCCCTGCCTATTCACCCCTCCTCTCACTCCCAAGGTCTTCTGGGGCGAGGAAGCAGCAGACCCACGAGAGCTCCAGGCCCTTGTCCATTGAGCGTCCTGGGGCTGTGCACCCCTGGGTCAGTGCCCAGCTCCGGAACTCCATCCAGCCCTCTCACCTCTTCATTCAAGATCCCACAATGCCACCCAATCCAGCCCCCAACCCCCTCACCCAGCTGGAGGAGGCCCGCAGGCGTCTGGAGGAGGAGGAGAAGAGGGCCAGCAAGTTACCCTCAAAGCAGAGGTACGGCCTGCGGGCAGAGGTGGCTGTAGATGGCACTTCTCTGGAGCAAGGCTCCCCAAGGCCTGAGTCCTCCCACAGGGCCCTCGAGGGAGAGGGCCGTGGTGGCTGCCCACCTGCTGCAGGACAAGGGCTAGGGCGACAGGTGTCCTCCCTCTCCTGGGGCTGGTGGGCTCAGAGGCAGGTGTTTCAGGTGCTGGGAGAGTCCTGCATGGTGGACAGTGCCCAGTTCTCCTGGGCCACAGGAGTCCTCCCCTTTGTGTGTGGCAGCATTCTCTCTAGGCCGGTATGCAGCCTCTCGGACCCTTTCAGTTGGGCCTTCAGGGCAGCTGAACACTCAGTCCATTGGAATTGCCAGATGGATCAGGGTTTCTGTGAGGTTCCTGGGAAACTCTCTCACCCAGGTCACTGTCTCCCTCAGAAGTCACTGACTCCTCTTGTCCATTTTGGGTTGTTTGAGGTCTGCGGTATGGATCCTTCTCAGCCCTCTGGCACAGCCAGAATCCTGCCTGTGTCCCCCAGACCACTGGGTCTACACCCTCCAGTAGAGATCTGCCCAATGCCAGTTTTGGGGCCAGAAGGGTCACACCTCAAACTGAAAGAGTGACCCTCACAGCAACCGTCTCCAGCCCATGGCAGCCAGAGCCCACTCTACAGGAAGGAAGCCTCTGCCTGGTGCTCAGAGGCCCGTGACCTGGCGGGGCAGATGGAGTGGCCGAGAGGGCATTGTGTGGGGCCTGGGTGTGTGGCAGGATGGCACAGGGAGGAGGCAGCCCCCGGGCCTATGTGGTGGGCTCCCTCTGTCCCAGACCCCTGCGAGGGGCTCCCTGGGACTATCCTTGCCAGCCAGGGCAGATGCCTTCTAAGGACAGGGCCTGCACCTGCCCTTCCCTATGGCGCTCGGCAGGCCCCACATGATGGCGGGTGCTGCCGTTTCTCTCTCCAGCAGTGACACCCACTGAGCCATTGGGACCTCTCTGGCCGCCTGTTTTGGACGTGACTCTCCTGCTGTGGTCTCATGGCATCTCCAGCATCTCCACTTGTGGGAAAAACCCAGAACTCCTGGGTTTATTTGCCCATTCAGGGGATGTGGACTTCTGTGAGCAGCTGCAGAGACAGAGCAGAGGCCCTGAGGTGGGGAGGGGTCCGGCCCTCCCCAAGCCCCAGCTCGCCCTGCCCAGGCCAGTCAGAGTGGAAATCACTGTCAGTGCTGCTTGAAGCATGCCCAGGTGTGGGTGTCCACACCGTCTACGGGACGTTGATGCCAGAGAATTGAGTGGGAAAAGCCATACCCAGGGAGGAAGATGAAGACAGATTGTTTCTGGAGAGGACATCCCTCCAGGGCAGGTTGAGGGCGATTCCAGCCCCAGGTCGACAGTTCCTAGTGTGTGTTCTAGGCGACCCAGGGGATAAGTGGCCAGATAATGGATGTGGGTGCTCGGGTTGCATAAAATAGCACCGTTTTCTGGCCATCTGTGACAGAGCCTCTGGCCCGCCGAGGCCTGGAAGGGGGTTTGGCATCTTGTGCGCCTCACACAAGTGGGAGCCTCAGGTGGGTCCCCAGCCCTGCTCGCTGTCTGTCTGCTACCTGCCGCTGTCGCAGCAATGCTGGTGAGGCTCTCCTCAGGGCTGGCAGCCCCCACTGACGTGGTCTGTTCTCTCAGTATGTGCAGGTGGTCATGCCATGGGGACGCACCTGCGTCAGGCCCAGTGTGGCACCCGCCACGTCAGACACGGAGCTGTCCCAGACAGACTGCATGTGGCCCGAGGCTCTCCTGAGCCACGTCCCATGGTACAGCGCTGTTCCCGGGACATGGCTCGGGCACTGTGCTTAGAAGCTGCGGTAACTGTGGAAGGTCCCATAGGATCGGAATCTGAGCTGCCTGAAAAACGGGACTGTCCAGTGATGAGAGTTCCTGTAGTCCGTGAGGAGGCCTTTGTCCACATGGGTGTCACGGCTGTGTCTGGGGGCAGAGACCTGCCTCTCGCCTGCCTCTGCCTCCTGGCTTCCCTGCCCGGCCTAGCGACTTGCTGCTCCATGTCGGGCTGTCTCGAGCCGTAATAACTTGTAGTCCGTGAGGAGGCCTTTGTCCACATGGGTGTCACGGCTGTGTCTGGGGGCAGAGACCTGCCTCTCGCCTGCCTCTGCCTCCTGGCTTCCCTGCCAGGCCTAGCGACTTGCTGCTCCATGTCTGGCTGTCTCGAGCAGGGTTGGGGGCTGGAGGTACCAGCAGTGTGTGTCTGTCCAGCCAGTGCATCTGGGGAGTCTGGGCTCTGTGCCCACCTGGAATGCCGACTGCTTGGAGTCCAGGAACGAGAGGCCCTGACACGTCCATGCCCCAGGGCCACATGGGCGGTGTGGACACTGCTGGCCACCCCCTTCCTGCACGTCCGCTGAGATGGGCCTGGGGAATGGTGTCACCAGAGCCTTGGTCTTGCTGCTCACCCCAGGCAGCGCTGCATCCTGCCCCTGCCCAGGCACTGTGCGCTCAGAGCCTCTGTCTGTCCCTGGAGAAGCGGGACCCCCAACCCCTGGTGGGCTCTGAGGGCACAACGCTGGGGGAAGGTTAAGGAAGCGGTGTCTGGGAGATCAGTTTGCAAAGTGGACAGTCATGTGGCTGAGGTGGCCCTGGGACAGAAGAGCCCACATGGCCTTCCTGCCCTGATTCTGGCGCTGGATGCTTCCAGGTGCGCCCAGCTGCCGGGGGTCTCAAGGGCCTGGGCCTGGGGCAGCTTCTGGAGCTGTCAGAAGGGCCAGGGTGATGCTGGAGCAGAGAGGGGACTGCCTGTCCAGGACACAGAACAGCCACCCCTGTTGGGGTGAGACTCCCCTCTCTGGCAGGAAGCCTCGCTGGCCTCATGCCCACCCTGAAGGTCAGCTGGTGGCTGCCTTGGTCCTCGGACAAGCTTTCCACTGTGGGGCAGGTTCCCCACGGATTTCAAGATCTGTGTGGAATTCTATCTGCCCAATCTCTGCCCTTCAGATGTGTTTGAAGTTTTAGGGCTTTTGGTCTTACTGGGACGCAAATGGCGTGGCTGCCCGGCCACCCTGGAGGGACTGCCGTGGGTCCAGTGGCCCATGCACTCTTGAGTCCCAGCCCTGAGAAACTGCGTGTCCACTTCCATGGGGTGGGGTAGGACCTGCTGCCCAGAAGCCATCCCCGGAGCCCGCTGTGGGGACCATGGGGACACGTAGTAGGCAGGGGAGGCAGGCGCATTTCCCATGAGTGCCGTTGGCATAGGATGGGCCCCAGATCAAGATGTTTCTGACTGCTGTTTCTGAAAGTAGTGCTGCTCACCTCTGTAGTCCTGCCTGGTCATCCAGTGGCAGCCTGAGGCCTTGTGGGGGCACCCCTGGGACGTGGGGCTGAGCCCAGCCATCACCTTTGTGTCTTTATCCCCAGGACGAAGTCGCAGAGGAGGGCGGGCGGTGGGAGTTGCCAGCCGTTTGACAGCATTGTCGTGGCCTACTACTTCTGTGGGGAGCCCATCCCCTACCGGACCCTGGTGCGGGGCCGCGTGGTCACCCTGGGCCAGTTCAAGGAGCTGCTGACCAAAAAGGGCAGCTACAGGTGAGCCTCAAGGGGGCTGGGGAGTGGCTGCCTGTGATGTGGGGGCTGTGGCAGCAGGTTCTGAATGAGGTGCCCCATCTGCACCTCAGCCTGCTTCTCACAGCCTTGGGCTGTGCAGGGGGTGGGGGCAGGGTAATGTCAGGGCTCCAGGCCGTCCGAGGGGTCTGAAGGGATGCAGCTCAGGACCTCATCTTAAAGGTGGGGGGACAGGCCCAGACACAGTGGCCACTCCATCACGCTCAGCTGACCTGGCCTTCGTCCAGCCGCCTCTTTACCTGACCGCGGAAGCCTCAGCCCATCCTGCCAGGGCTTCCAGCCCCAGTGGCCCTGAGCCAGCACCTTCAGGTGAACAGAAGGCATATGGGGTCCTCAGCTGGAGTGGACCCCAAGCAAGCCTGAGTGGGCAGCTTCCTCCATCCACTGAGAAAATGCCCCATGAGTGTGAGTGGGATGGCAGGTTCAGCCCTTGGGGGACAGACACCCCATGCCCACCCACCCGCCCTGCTCCTGCAGTGCCCTAGTGGGCAGCGCAGGGCTCCAGGGCCTCATGGTGGTTCACCACACGCATGGCCATCCCTCCCGTCCACCGTCTCCCCAGCTGACAGACAGGCGCCAGGCAGGACAAGGTCGAAGGCCCTGGGAGCAGCACACTCACAGTGGCCACGTCCATCCTGGGAGCTGGGGCACAGCTGTCCCTCTCACCACCCTCCTCGCCTGCCTCCTACAGATACTACTTCAAGAAAGTGAGTGACGAGTTTGACTGTGGCGTAGTGTTTGAGGAAGTGCGGGAGGACGAGGCCATCCTGCCCGTCTTTGAGGAGAAGATCATTGGCAAGGTAGAGAAGGTGGACTGACCGCATGCATGGCCGCTGCACCCGGCGGGGCCCTCAGCAGGCGGGGTGGCTACACTGAGGATGAGCGTCAGGCACGCGGATGACCTTGCACTCAGGAGCCCCATTCATGGGAGCAGCTCGGGGCTGTGCGTGTCACGTGCTCCTAGCGTGCGGCAGACACACAGGTACTGGGAGGTGCTGGGTGTGTCCCACCTTGGTTCATCTGTGTTGGGGTGGGTGGGGGTCCCCCTGAGTGGTCCTGCAGTTTCTGTCTTGCCATGGAGGATGGAGCCCCGTGCACTCCCCACAGCAATACTGTCCTGCCAAGAGAGGCAGCCCTCGGAGAGCTGCTTCGTGACCCCCGCAGTGGCCCCTGCTGCTGAGTGGCTGCCCCCTGCACTGGCCCTGGGTGCTGGCATGCTGGTGTCCACTTCTCCCTCTGGGGATCACCCACCTTTGCTGTCCTGGTTAGGTGCAGCCCTAGTTCTGGTGCAGGGCCCTGCGGAGGCCTCTCTAAATTGTACTTGTCACTGAGTGCCTTCAACACAGCTGTCTCTTGCCTGTCACTGTGTGAACCCGGCAACGGAGCCCCCAGCACCTGCCCCCCGCCCTCTGTCTCCAGCTGCGCCGGCTCAGCGGGTCCTGGGCCCTCCTTTCTAGGAGCCCGTGTAAATATGTACATTTCTCAGGCCAAGGCCAGCAGGGGGCTGCTCCCCCCGCTCGTTTTTCATGCGATTACTTGTACAATTATCTTTTCAAAGGTACTTGGATAATGATGAAATAAAACCATTTTTGAACCTATCCTGGCTGTGGAGTACACCTGCTGCTGCTGTCCTCGGCCAGCCCCGGCATGGGACAGCCCATTTCACTAGCCTCAGCCCCAGGGGTGAAGGAGGTCACACCAGCCTCCGTGGGGGATAGGGAGTCCTGGGGGCGCTGGCTGGCAGAACCATGGAGAGGGCAGGAGCTGGAGCTGTGCCCATTCCTGCCCCAGGGAGGCCCACCCCTGGCCTAAGCCAGGAGCCCACCCAGGAGGGCTGGGCCCAGAGGCCGAGACTGGGCCAAAGCCGAGGGCAGGGGTCTGCTAGGCAGGGCACAGGAACCACATGGTCAGGACCAAGATTTTTATTCCCAGTTCACAGCTCCTCCGGCTTCCTGGAGACAGTGCCCTGTACTGGTGTCACGGGGTGGCTACAGCTCCTCCCTGGGTCCCCTGGTGGAGTTTGCCAGCGGCTCCTAGAAAGGGTTATAAGCCTGGCTTAGAGCTTGGCCCCCCACCACCAGCCCTGCGTGGAGAGGACTGTCCAGAGGCCTGAACCAAGGGATGGGCACCCACCGGGGAGGGGGCTGCGGGCTCCTCCAGGGGCTCCTCTGCGGGCAGCTCTCCCCCATTGTCCAAGAACTTTGAGAAGGTCTCCAGGTCCCTGGCACTTTTGTACTCAATCACCTGAGGAGGGACAGGAGGGCCTGGAGAACATGCCATGCCCTGTCCTGTACCCACCATGCCTTCCCAACCCCAGGCCAAGGAAGATGGGGTCCCGGCTTCCCCAGCCCACCAGCCTGCCTCACCTTCCGACCTGGCCCTGCTGGGAAGTACTTGAGGGTAGGATAGCTATTTATGGGAAAGGCTTCCAGCTCATTAGCTGTGGCGTCCAGCTCCGCAATGACAACATCCTCATGGTCCCTGTACTTCTCCGCCAGTGCCTCCCAGGCTGGAGCCATCTCCTTGCAGTGGGCGCACCAGGGGGCATCTAGGATGGGGGGTGTTGGGTTTGGCCAGCTGGTCCTCGACAGCCGCCCACCCGCCTACTGCCCTCAGCACTCACAGAACTTAATAAACACGTTCTTGGTTTCATCGAAAGCCACCTGCTCAAAATTCTTGCCCACGAGCGTCTTGACTGGCTGCTCATCCCAGTCAGGGGGAACCTCTTGGCTCAGGAGATAGGGCTGGGGGGTGACAGGCCAGGTTCTCTGCAGGGTCAGGGACCCGAGAACAACCCCTGCTCCCTCCCCTTCCCTGGGCTGGGGATCACCTTGACTTCATTGCTGAGGACCGCGTGGCAGAAGGCGGCAACAGAAGCTGCGGTGATGAGGCCCCTGTCCTCAGGCGCATACTTCTTGGTGGTCTCAACGTTGATCAGGCGCAGGGTGGGGGCCTCCTGAGCCTTGAGGCCAAAGTACTGCAGCACGTGGTCATTGCTGGCTGCCACGTCTACCACCACAAACAGCACCTGCAGGCAGGAAGTGCTCGCCGGGCCCCCCACTGCCCGGCCGCCCCTCCCTCCTGGACCCCCTAGTACCTGCCCCCGGAATGGGGGAGCCGCTTCCCTGAAGCCCTCCAGGAGTTCCCTGTGTGGAGCCAGTGTCTGGTTGATGAACAGCAGCAGGTGGTTGAGAATCTTCGCTGCAAAGATCTTAGGCCATGTCTGCGGGAGAGGGCGCTTGTGACACCCATGGGGACCCCATGCAGTGGGGCCCAACCACACCCGCTGGGGCTTACCTGTTTGTTGAACTCTGTGACCAGGTGCATGCTGTGCGTGACGAGGAAGCGAGACACATCGCCCAGGTCCAGGCCCAGCTCCTCGTCCACGGGGAAGTCGGCACGTCCCTCATCGAACTGAACAACCCCAGCTGGGTCAGTGGGAGCGCGGCCCCGACCCCCACCCCCACCTCGGCCCTGACCCACCTTCTTGAAGAGGACCACGGTGTCCTTGGTGATGCCAAACTTCTGAAAGAGCTGTGGCTGGTCAGTGAGACCAAAGGTCATGTCCAGGGCATCCTGGGCCAGCCTCAAGAAGGTGGCCACATCCTCATCCTGTAGGTCCTAAGGGCCCAAACCTGTGAGGCTGATGGGTCCATGGCATAGCTCCCACGCTGGTCCCCACGCCCCTGGCTTACCTGGAAGAAGCCAATGACCACGACATCCCGGGTCTCTAGCAGTGCATGGGCAGCCGCCTCGTCCTCCAGCCGCATGGCGCTGGACCCCACCCGCCGCCTCAGCCACTCGGTGATGCCCTCGGCCTCGTGGGGGCCTGCGAGAGTCCTCCTCAGCCTAGGCAGCCCCTGCCCACCCCATGCCACCCGCCACGCCTGGCCCCGCACCTGTGTACTCCTCTGGGTGTGCACGGTCCCCATCGCGGAAGAACTTGAGCGTGGGGTAGCTGGTGACTTTGAACTCCTCGGTCAGCTCTGGCTCCGCAGGCCCATCCACCTTGGCCAGCATGGCCCTGGCGGACTCGGCCGCGAGCAGGGCAGCCGCCTGGCTGTACTCGGGGGCCAGCGCCTGGCAGTGCCCACACCATGGGGCGTCTGGGAGATGGCACCATGAGTGCCAGGGCTCTGTGGCCCCAGCGTGGCCTGACTGGAGACCTCGGTGCCTGAGGTCAGGGCCCAAGGCAGTGAGTTATGGTCATCTCCCTCCTTCAGGGGCCCACCTTGAGCCCAGCCACAGCTGAGCTCAAGAGCCAGGGACCAGGGGCTCCCCAGAGTCCCCAGGCTGAGGGGCACAGCGACTGGCGGAGTTCAGGAAAGTCTGAGAGAAATCCTCCTGTTGCTGTCTAAGGCCTGCGTTCCTGCTAATGCCCGCTAAGGATGGCTCTTACGTTTGTAGAGGAACCCACAGAAGCATATGTGATAAGGACCTATGTGGCCGCAGCCTGCACATGCTGGGCCTTCACAGGAGGAAACACCACAGCAGCTTGCAGAAGGGACTAACAGGGCCGAGCAGGAGGCCTGGGTGTCCTCATGTCCTGTGGGTCCCCCTGCACTACCACCATCCCCCTGCTCAGACTGGACCCTAGGCCCAGCCCAGTCCTGGGGCTCCCTCCCACGGTTACCCTCCAAGGGAGCCAGGGGGTGCAGTGGGGGGGTTCAGTGAGGGGTGGGTGCCTACACCCCTATGTCCATGGGCAGAGGATTCAGACCCTGGGTGGTCCCTGCCGGCCCCCAGCCCCGCTGCCCCAGCACTCACAGAACTCCACCAGCAGGGCGGGGTGTTCCCGCAGGGCCAGGCCCAGGGTGCGGCTGTTCAGCACCAAGATCCCATCCTCCTGGGGGACTTCCTCCTCAGGGGACTCCTCCAGGAGCTCCTCTGAAGGACTCTCAGGCTCCTGTCTCTGTCCCTGTGGACCCAAGGCCCAGAGCAGCAGCAGCAGCACAGGCAAGAGCTGGCAGTCCATGGCAGTGCCGGGGCCCCACAGGGCCAGAGCAGATAAGGGGACCTGGGGCCAAGCAGTGGCTGCCACGTGGCACCTGAGCCTGGTCACAGGAAGATAAGGCCCAGGAGCCCCCCCCCCACGGGGGAGGGGGAGGCAGAAAGAGGCGACACTGAGGGCACTGAGACAGGGTGACGTTTAATGGGACTGTTCAGGGCACAGTGCCAGGCAGGGAGCCAGGGGTCCAGGACAGAGCAGAGGGTGGCAGGAGGTCGGGTCACTCGCTGAGGGGGCTGGGGAATGCTTGGGGGTCCCTGTGCAGCAACTGCCAGAGGTGGGGGGGAGGAGTCAGTCCTTCCAGTCCTGGCAGATATGGAGGCCCCACTGCCAGGACAGGTGGTCCATCCTGTCATCATCGGTGAAGAGAGACTTGACAACGTAGGTGCCCCGCACCAGTGCGCCCCTTGGTACCTCCTCCACCGGGGTCACAAACTCATACTCCTGGGCACTTGGGCCATAGCTGCCCACCATGTAGACGGCCTTGTCCACTGGGGGAGGAGGAGGGTGTCAGGGACCACCCTCTGCCCCACCGCCCCCCAAGGCTGCCCCTCCACGCGGCCCTCACCCCTCAGGCCCCGTCGGTAGGTGTGATGCAGACACTTGAGGCCACTGACAATCTCCTTGTGGACCTGGGAGACAGAGGGTGTTAAGGGGCTCCTCTGGGGGGGCTGGGCCTGTCGCTGGCTAGTGCCCCTGCCCCCAGCTGCCTCACCTTGAAGGTGATCTTCACTTTGTAATCAACTCCTTCCTTCAGGACAAACACCTGGTTTTCCAATGCAGCCAGATCCCCTGTCAGGGAAATGGCAGCTGAGGTCTAAACTCCTGGGATGGGCTGAGACCCTGCCCTAGGAGCCCCCAGATGAAGAGTGGTCTCATGGGTCCTATGGTGATGAGCCCAAGGACTTGGGATTGGGCAGGGGGTTACTAAGAGGTCCACGAAGATAAGCCCTGGTCTCTACCCAAAGATGGGTTTGTGGTTTGCAGAGGGGCATTACCTGTGAGGTCCATGGTGATGGGCCCCGGAGCCTGCTCAGACATCAGCGTCAGTCTCATCACCCGCACGTTGGGCAGGCTTGAGTCTGAGGAGAAACTGAGGGTCTACAGGATGCTCCACCCGGCCCCACCCCCTCCACGCCACCCGATGCAGCCCTCCAGGCCCAGGGCCTGTTTCCATACCCACGACAGGCAGCAGGGGTCCGAGCAGCACGCGCTTGTACTTGGCCAGGCTCTCGTCATGCGGGTCCAGCTGCTGGATCTCCAGGACGCTCTTCTTCCCCGGTGCCCGGTACTCGGGCACAGCCTCGTCCAGCACCTCATCCCGCAGTGGCTGCCCACCCTCTTTGTCGGCCAGGAGGACTGGGGGTTGGGGAGGGTGTGTGACCCCGGCATTCAAGTGCCAAACAGGAGCCCCTGTCTGGCCAACTGTACCTCCCACTGCCGGAAGGAACTGAAGAGGAGCCGCTGGGGCTCGGGCAGAGGCTGAGCGGGGGGCGCGGTGGGAGCGCAGAAACGCTCAGCAGCACCACACCCAGAGGCTCCAGAGAGGGGCCACCTGCTGTGCCTGGAGCCCAGCCCAGGGCCTCAGGGCTCCTCCCTGACTCTGAGGCCAGGTGGGGGGAACAAAGACCCCAAATGGGGGAGAACCCCAAGGGACTGAGAGGGCTTCCAGTGTAGAGGGGTGACCCTCGGGTGCTGCCTAGAGCAGAGGCTCTGCCCTCTACAGCCCTCGGGCTCCTCCCCACAGTGCTCCTGGCAGAGGAGGTGGCTCTCTCTGAACCCCTGAGCTCCAGGTCACCTCCCAGGGTGCCCCCAGACCAGGGGTCTCTCCGAGTTCCTGCCCACGGTGCTCCAGTCTTCTCGCCCTGAAGAAACCCCGGCCCCACCCAGGGCAGAGGGAGTCCAGGCGGCAGGTTCCCAAGCGCAGAGGGTCCCCACCTCCCCGGCCTCACAGCTAGATCCAGGCACTCCCGGCTCCCCTCCCGGAGAGGGTCGAGCCCGACCGGGCCCCCGCCCCCACCGACCCCCCCGCGTAGGAGGCCGCCCCAGTCTCTGCCGGCTTACCTCGGGCGCACAGCGCCAGGCGGAGCAGTTCCAGCAGCTGCGCCCCCAGCTCGCACGCGTCCAGGCCCAGCATGGTGGCGCGCGGCCCGCCTGGCTCGGCGCTCAGCCCCGGCGCGACTGCGGTGAGCTCATCCCGG